TAAATTCTACAGCGGGTAGGATTTCTGAAGAGAGAAAGGGAACTCGAAAGTGTCAGTTTTTCTTGAAGTTTCTGTAGGAACGGAAAAGCTTTTCGATGGAACTGGACTTTAACAAGGAGCTCGCAGTCGAGTGAATCAATTGACCCCCCGACATTACCGGCGTTCCCTGCAGCTCGCCCAATTTACGATCACGACCCCGCTGCAAATTGCCCCTTCACCGCGGAATTTTCGACTCACGCGATGTTAAAAAAGAAAAAAAGAAAAAAGGAGCCATCCAGAACGAACAATAGAGGATCGGTTGCACCTCCCCTGCCTTTCTATTTTTTTTTTGCGCGCAGACGAGAAAGGCTCGTCAACGACGGCAACTGATAGTCGGTGCCCGCCTACGTCCCTCTAGAAATCCAGTTATATAAATGCGCATATGTGATTTAGACTGGGACAACGTATTATACCGTTTCGATGGACGGGCGAATGAAGCACCGTCATTCGCGAACGCAAAATTGCGAAACACATTTCGCGTTCCATTTAGGGATAATTGCGAGCGCGGCGCCGTCGGTTTCCTGATAAAAGTGTGCTTAGTGCAATGACCGTAATATTATAATTGAGTCTACGTGGAAATGATAATATACTGCCGTAAATTTGTATACATATATATATATTTGTATATACACGTGTATTATTTTCAACATAATATGAAACATAGTATTGAAATTTCCTGGAAAATGGATTGTTATTCCGCTGGCGATATCGAAAAAACTTTCGAGACTTTTCACATGAAACATTCAATGAAAGGTAAAATGTATTATATCGCAAAGGTTATGATAAATGTATTACTACTTGAATACTGCATTTTTGATGGCTTAACCTTTGCGACAGAAAACTTTCTAAAGAGAAAAAAAATTTTCCTTCGCGTAGAGAATATCATAGTCTTATCGAAATTAAAGTCGCGCGTGGACAGCGCCTTGTATATCGGGAGCGTGTCAAACATAACAAACTGCCGGATCTAAGGGCTGAAGAAAATAATGCGGTTTATACCGTGAGCGTTGTTAACGGGGATTTACACGGTATGGCGCCTTATCTGACCGAGCAACTATAATGATGTAGGTGACACGGGGAAGTATTACGTTCGAGAGAGAGAGAAAGAGAGAGAGAGAGAGAGAGCTACTGTGTTTCAGCACAAAGGTATTATTATTATCATCATCATCCGGGCACCGTTAAGAGCTCCGCACTTCGGAACAAGAGCGGAGAACAATGGCACCGTGTCCAATTCGGGACGCGCGTCCATACATTAAGCGCGCGCTGACTAACTATTGTATTAACCACCGGGTGTGTTACGACCGCGGAGACGTGTTGTCTGTCAAAGCGCGTTCTCCTTTCCCGCTCAAACGTCGCCGTTTCGCGTTTTCAAGACAAATAGCACCGTGAGTCTCGATTGTGTGAGGCTTTTCGCCGTTCGCGAAAGTTGCACGATTACATTATATATATATATATATATATAT